GGGGGGGCACCTGCAGGGCAGAGGCGCCGAGCCCGTCAGCTCGGACCCGGCTGGCAGCGAGCCCCGGCCCCGCAGCCCCCAGCACCGCGGCTGCGGGGCCGGGCCTGGCCGGGCAGGGAGAGGAGCTGTGGCGGCTCCACGGTGCTGACCTGGGGGTGCCCCCGCGGGCGGAGCGGGGGCCCGGCGGGTGAGCGGGGTCCGGCGGGAGCCCCCGGCTTGCGCTTGCAGCCCGTACGAGAACTGGGGGGGGTCGTTCCAGCCGCGCTCCTGGTTCCCTGCAGCAGCGAACGGCGCCGTGAGACCGGAGGAGCCCGAGGAGCCTCCGCGCCAGGCGGAACCTCCGGCACGTCCCTCCCGGCGCTCCCCGCACCCGGAACAGCCCCGGCGTCCCCCACACACGGGCCCCGGCGGAGCCGATCCCCGGTCGCGGCCCCGCGGCCCCGCCCGGGCAGACCCGCGGTGTCCGGGACCGGGACCCCCCACCCCGCACCGGAAGTGCCGCGCGCGCGCCCCGCGCCCCCTCACCCGGCTTCACGTAGGACTCCGCCATCCCGCCACGTCACGCCCGACCCCGCCCCTTCCGGCCCGTGAGGCGGGGATGGGCGGGAGGGGCGGGGCCGGGCCTGTCCCCGCCCCGCCGGGGCCGCGCTCGGGGCCGGGGCCGGGGGCGGGGGTGGGGTTGGGGGTGGGGCCGGGGGCTCCCCCCCCGGGACTCCGGCCCCGACCCCGGCCCGGCGCAGCTCGCTACGGGCTGTGCAGGAGGGCCCGCCGGAGGCGGAACACCTCGGGGCCGGGGCCGGGGTTGGGGTTGGGGCCGGGGCCGGGGGCTCCTCCCCGGCGACTCCGGCCCCGACCCCGGCCCGGCGCAGCTCGCTACGGGCTGTGCAGGAGGGCCCGCCGGAGGCGGAACACCTCCAGGAAGGAGAAGAGTCCCCGCTTGCGGGGCCCGGCCCCCGCCCCGCCGCCGCCTCCTCCCGCCTTGGCCGCCCCGCGGGCAGCGTCCCCCGCGGCCGCCGGCCCGGCCCGGCCCCGGCCAGCCGCGCTCTTCGCCTTCGCCCCCGGCGCGGCGGCCACGAGGCACTTCTGGTACTGCACCTGCGGGGACACGAGAGGCAGCGCGGGGCACTCGGCACCGGGGACACCCCGGCCTCCCCAGGGCCGTGCCCAGCCGCGGTGCCGCCGCTGCTCACCATGCAGGCGGCCTGCACCGCCTCCGAGATGGTGCCGGCGTCGGGCTCGCACCAGAAGGCCGCGCACTGGAAGCGTCGCCCCGTGTCCACGATGAGCGCGAAGGTGTGCGCGTCCCGGCCCACCCCCAGGAAGGTCACGTACCGCACCTGGCACTCCCAGATGTGCGCCGCCTCCTCGGGCTCCTGCGGGGACCCCGCGGGCCCATCCACCCCTGGCCGCCACCCGGGCAGCCCCGCCGCCCCCCAGGACCGCTCTGCCGGGGGCAGCGCCGTGCCCGTCCGGCCAGAGCCCCCGGTTCCCTCCCCACCTGCGCCGGGTGCACCCTCATGGCCGTGTCCGACACGTAGATGACGGAGGGCGTCCAGTTCTCCCGCCCAGGGCGCCTCGTCAGCTTCTCGATGGCCTCGTTCAACACATCCATCCCTGGGGAGAGGGACACCGCGTCCCACCGGCCCCGGCTGCGGGCGAGGGGCGGGCAGGAGCCGCCCGGCGACAGGGCACGGCTGCCCGGCCGCCTCCGGCACGGCGGGGCCTCCTGGGCGGCCCCAGCTGCGGGGGAGCAGCCGCGCTTACCCATGGCCCTGGGCACGGGCAGGCTGCCGATGTACAGCGCCTCGTAGGTCTGCATCGACTGCCTCACCGCTTCTAGGATATCCACTGCCAGGACGGGAGAGGGGGAGCTACATCTGTGTCCCCCGCTGTGTCCCCCATCCCCAAGGACCCCGGGGAAACAGCCGGACAAGCCAGAGGGCTCTGGCTCACATGCGGACTGTGGGCGGGGGCCGTGGGGGGACGGTACCTTGCAGTGGCAGGTCCTCGGCAGAGATGGGCTCCAGCGTGGCAGCGCGGGGCAGCCTGCTGCTCGCTACAGCTCGCTCGGCCACGATCTGCAAGAGACCGGGATCCCGGAGCCTCCCCTCACCCCCGAGATCCCCAGGCCGTGCTCACACCCCTGCGTCCCACCTTGGAGCACATCTCATGCAGAGCCTTGGCGATGCCCTTGGCAGGCACGTTGCAGTGGAAGACGTGACACTTGAGGACGCAGGTGTCCTTGTCACTGGCCACGAAGGCGAAGTCTCTGCAAGGCCACGAGCAAGCCAGTGAGACCCCGACAGAGGCAGCCCCCTGCCTGTATTGCCCCCCAGCCCCGTGCCCCCTTACCTGTCCCTGCAGCCGTGGTGGCAGTCGGGAGGGAGGAGAGGGGACAGGTCACTGCTGGGGTGCCTCCCCCCAGGCGGGCAGAGCCACCCCCCTGGCCCCTAGCTCTGCCCTCGCCCCTGGCACCTGCCGTTGTTGCAGCCAACGCCCCAGACACGGATGTTGAGGATGGGCTGGCGGTGGATGAGGCTGCGGTCCAGGGGGTCCACCAGGCTCATGGTGTCCTTCTTCAGAATCATCACTAGATCCTGGCCCTGCAGAGGGGCAGTGGTTCCCTCAGCCTGGCAGACAGCCTGGGCATCCCCAGCACCCAGCCCCTGTGTAGGCAAACCCCTTCCCCGTCAGCCCACTCTGCCCCAACTGTGGGGTCAGCCCTGCTCTTCCCAGTTACTGTTCCCTTGTGTGGGGAACCCACCCAGGCACCCTGGCTCTGTTCCCAAGGAACAGCCCTGTCAGACCCACCTGCTCTGCACCTGGAACCATTGGATGGATGCCCTCTGTAGAGAGGTGATTCTACCACCTGCTCCCCTTTTCAGCGCCATCCAGCCTCAACAACAGTGGCCTTGGGGAGGGACCCTGCCTGGCAGCACCATCCCAGGCTCTTACCTCGCCCTGGTTCTCCGCAGAGCCCTGGCCCTTGCTGTTGGAGAGCTGCTGGATGCAGTTGTTGACGGCGATGCTGCTCTTGCCAGGTGCCAGGTCCTCCTCGGGGATCTCCACCCAGCCCAGAGAGCGCACAGCAAAGCACTGAGCAGAGACACGAGGGGCTTCAGTGCCACTGGCACAGCCACCTCCATCCCACACGCCTCACCGTGCCAGAGTGGTCACCCCTGCTCTGGCTCCCATCCACGTCCCTGCCAGCTGCCACCCTCCTCCTCTTCTGCCAGCACAGCCCACGATGCGGCAGTGAAGCTGGCGGGTGCAGTACCTTGGAGCCGGGCTCTGCGCTGTGCTGGAAGTCATCTCCATGCCAGGACAGTGAGTGCCTGCAGAGGGATGGGGCAGTGAGGGGCAGCTCCCTCTGCATGCTCCTGGGGCACCCAGGGAAGCATCAGGGTGCTCTGGAACAAGCAGACCCCCTTGCCACCAGCTGGGAAGCATCCCATGGGGGTGCCCAGCATGGTCCTGCTGGTTTCAGCATGGGGTCTGCTCTGCGGGGGAGCACCAGGGCCCAGCACAGCTCGGGATCAATGGTAGCCCACAAACAAGCCAGCAAAGCACAAGGATAGCCCTACCTCCGGGACAGCGAAGCCATAGGGCTGGGAATGGGCCGGTCCTTCGCCGAGTGCTTTGCTGCAGGGCCATGGCATTCCTGGGAGAGAGGAGGAAGGGGGTGACCGGAGATTAGCAGGCAGGAGGCACCAGGTAGGAGCCCTCCCTCCCAGGACTGCAACAAGCTTGTGAGCGTCCTGGATAGTCAAGATGAGTCCAACTAGGATAAGCTCCAGGATGGGGCCTGCTGGAGCCTTTCAAACGGCTTAACCCCAGACATTAATGGGCTGAGCAGGACTTCAGGGTCACACAGACAGGGTGCTCCAAGGGGAGGCTGGACCAGTCATGCCCAGAGGGTCCTTTAGCAGGATTCTGCCAGGGGTGGAATCCAACACCAGCCCTCACACCCCTGCCCACATTCCCTACCCTTCCCTGGAGTGTCTCATCTCCATCAGCCTCCGTGTGCCCTCCTGGGCTGGTGCTGCGTGCAGGGTGCTGCCACTGTGTCGTGCCTGTTGGCACATGCCAGTAATAGGTACCCAGAGAGTCACAGATTTTCCTCCAGCCTGGGGGAAGATCGGGGTCTGTCTCCAGGCTCTGGTCGCTCCAGATGTTGTCTGTGCAGAGAGGCAGTGTGAGACACGGGGTGGGGAGAAGGATCCCCCAGTTGCCCTGAAGAGCCACCAGCTTTGCCCAGCAGCAGAAGGGTCCTGCAGTGGCCTCTGGGTGCGTGGCTGGGTGCATGGGCCAGGAGAGCAGCCTGGCAAGGGAACATGGCACGATGCCAGCAAGGCTGCAGCAGTAGCAGACCCCAGGGCAGGGAATTGCCTCGCTGGCTCCCGGGGGGACAGCGAACCCCGGCAGGGCACAGAGGGCAGGGGCAGCCTGGGCCTGCCAGGCCGGGAGCCCTGCGGGGCACCCGGGCTCAGGCTTGGCCCGTGGCCGCCAGCTCAGTGCCCCTGCCCTCGGCCAGGAAAGGGGCCGGGACAGACGCCGGGATCCGGGCAGAGGATTGTGCTGCAGCCGGAGGGTGCGATGGCGGTGGCCCCCGCACCCCCAGCCGTGCGCGGGCACCGACTCGAGCCCGTGGCGCAGCTCGGCCGGAGCGAGCCCGGGCCGCGGTGGCGGCGCGCTCCGACCGGCCGGCTCCTGCAAGCCGCCCCTGAGCCCGCCGGCTGTGCCCGTGCCGTGCCCGCCCTGCCCGCCGCGCTGACCGTCGCAGTTGACCAGGACGATGGCCAGCATGTAGTCCTTGCCCAGCATGGCCCCGCCGCCCGCCCGGCGCGGCGCCCCCGCCGGAGCTGGGGAAGGGGCGGGGATGTCCGGGGCCTTGGGGTGTGCCTCGGGACAGAAGGTGGGATCCTGAGGAGGGAAGGGGTTTTGGGGCTGGAAAGGTTTCTGGGTGCGATAGACAGCAGAGCCAGGTCAGCCCTTTGTGCCCTCGGGTTCGTTCCCCTCCCTCCATCCGCTCTTAGCGTTCCTTCATTCCCTTTCCTGTCCCCACAAATCACCATCATTCCTCTCCACCCATGCTTATCCCATGCTCATTCTCCATCCATGCCCGGGTCTGCCCGTTCCCCTCCACCTGTGTCCAGCCTCCATCAGCCAGTGATGAAGTCTGTGCTGGTTACCTTCCCCTTCTCACCAGGGACCCAGAGCTTTGCATCTCCAGTTTGAGACTTCTTTCCATTCTGTCTTGGCTAATGATCAGCACACAGGGACAGAAGCTCTGGAGACATTTGTTGTACACCTGAATTCCCCAGGGAGCTCCTTGAGTACTGCTCAGGAAAAAGTCCTTCCAAGCTACAGGTACCTGATGGAATATTCCAAGATGGATTGCTATAGGTGGCGTCTCCACCTTTTCTTCTTCAGAGCAGATTTTGGACGTGCAGGATGAATTTTCCATGCTTGGTCTCTCTTTTCCTTTGCTTGGTCTCATTCATGCATTCCATGGGATAACATGCCCCTGATTTTGTGAGACACCCTCCGCTCCTTTATGCATTTTAATCTTGCTCACCTGGCCTGAGAACAGCACCAGCTCCATAATCCAGTTTTGCAGTTGTCCACAATAATTTCTGTCTCCTGGTGGCAGCTCCTTTTTTGGATACAGGCTTTTTCTTCTGCATCTGTCCAGAGCTAGTCAGATTTCTAACACTCCATTCAAGCACTGTGGCCTTGGGACATTATTTCCCTAACCCAACCCAAACCCACACAGCAGAGCAGGGGGGGCTCGTGGCTCCCTGTGCTCAGATGTGTCTGAGGGGTCACAGGTCTCACCTTGACCTCTGCTTTCCCCAGATCCCACCTTTTCCAGTTTCCAGGAGTGAGCTCCCCCTACCAGGACCGAGTTTATGGTGGTGACTGGTAGTGCTCTGGTATCCCCTGCTGCACATCTCTCCTTGTCCTTGTCTCAACACACATTTCACTTTCAAAAACCACGCTCAGCTCATCAGACAGGAGGCAACAACCCCAACACAAACTGTCCCCACTCCTCCTCTGGCTCGTCCAAGCCCACCAAGGTAAGGCAACTCTCTCCTGGCAATGTCATGAAGCTTAAGGGTGATGATGGCCCTGGTGATATCAGACTTAGAGCAAGGGAGGAGAATTTGGGGATGGTGCAGAGCAGAACCCATGGATTGTATGAAATGGCATAAGGGATGTTTCATGGGAAGGGGAAAGGGAGGGACCAGGGGAGGAAAAAGCACAGAAAGGCAGAAGGAAAAGAGGAAATGTTCTGGTGGTGTGTGGGCAGTGGTAGGTAGGCTTGCCAGCCTCAGCAGCATGTTTCAGCACTGCAGGCTGTCCTGGACCCTCATTAAATCATCTTTCTTCTGTGCAGTGGTGCTCCCTGTTCAGAGCTGCCTGCGTGAGAGTGGGGAAGATTTTGGTGGTTCACAAGAGGAAAAGGATAAGGAAACTGTAAGGATAAGGCTAAGGAAAGCCTATACCCATTGTACTTTCCAGGGAAAGGTGTGAGACATTTTGTAATTCTACAACCCATAATTTTCTGGTGTTGGCCCTGAAGAGTGAGAGATCTGGGTTTGGTTTTGTTTGGTTTGGGCCTGAAGTAGAAGTACAGTGGTGTCATTTTTGGTGCTGGGTTAGAAACCAAAACTCTTCTTCTGGCTTGAATAATGAAATCCTGGAGAAGGGGAATAAGACTTCTCCTTGTAAAGATTGAATTTTATCTTCCTAGTACAATCACCAGCTAGATCTCTTCACAATATAAGGGGGAATCTCTCAGCTCCTCTGACACTTCCCTCAAAAAGTGAAAAAAACACTCTCCAGCTAGATCTCTTCACAACATAAGGGGGAATCTCTCAGCTCCTGACACTTCCCTCAAAAAGTGAAAAAAACACTCAAAAACACTCACATGGCTTCCTTGGAGCAGTCTGGGCTCTCAGATCTGTCAGCTGCAGATCAAAAGACTCCTAAAGAGGCTCATTACATGAAAACACTCCACAGCTGCAGGTCCAGCGCAGTTTTACCTAAGATAACAAAATAGATATCTCCCAACCAGATCCTTTGTGTATGCCATATTTCCAGGGGATAAACATACAAGGTTTCTCTCTGCACTGCTCCTGAGACAAAAGACAGAATCCCCCTCAAAGAAAATATCCACTTTCCATCAGGTGATGTTTCTGGTGCATGCCTTCATTCACTCTGGAGAAGGAGGTTTCTGATGTGACAGATCAATAATTTTCAGGTTATGAAAACCTTTCAAAAAGAAATCAAGTGAAATATTAGGTAACAATTCTACTTTTCCACTACCTTCCTCCCAGCCATTGAAAAACCAAGATCATGCTATGCAGCCCAGACTCAGCTATCTGTAGTTATCAAATATCCCTGTCCCAACACCCTACCTGGCAGAAAAAAACACAGTTTAAGCTGTTTCTGTGCTTCCACCATCACTTATTTCCACCTCAATTGTGCAAGTCAAGCAGAGACAAAAGGAAGAAGCCACAAGATGAACTAAGACAAGTCCAAATCAACCCCCTAGATCTTGGAACCAAGACTTTGAAAAGCAGAAAAAAATCCCAGGGTATCACATTTGAAACTCTAATTCCAATAAGCAATTTTTTTTTTGGTTTTTTGGGGTTTTTTTTCTGTTTTACTGCCTGGTTCCTGTAAACAGCACTGATTTGCAGAGCTGCTGTGAGCTATTGGCACTAACTATGGATTTCATTGGTACATGCAGTTCCATCCCATATCCCACAGAGTTCTCTGGAGCACTGCCTCTTCTGTAGGTTTTTTTAAGAAATGCTGTTAATATCCTCTGATCATTTCACACCTCTCTTATAATACAGAGTGCAGAAGTATCCATAGTTTCGATTTCTCAAGCTGCTTCACACACACTCAGATAACACATTTAAATTTTCTGTCACCCACTCCTAATCCATCTCAGAAAGCCTGGGGGTGGGGTTTGAGGATGAGGAAATCGATTCCCTGCCCGTTTGAAGCGCACACACTCTGAAACACAAACAATTGATGTGAGGAACCAGTACTTCTCAAAGGAACTCAAAATCAGCAGCTAAAATGTTGAGTGTTAGCGAGAGTAAATGCTGCTCTTGGCTTCATCTGATTTCTTGGAGCCAGTTCTGATGCTTCCCAGAACCAGCACCCCAGGCCACCAAACAGCTTTAGCTACATCATTAGTGGGGAAATCAATCACAACTTTGCAACTTTTAACCACTGGATCACCAGTGCCAACTGGCTGCTTTCCTTTGCTAATTCACAGGATTCCTTCTAGTGATGTGGAATTGTATCAAGAGGTTCTAAGCATATTTTGACTGCTTTAAACTAAAATCTAAATTACCTCCATTGCAGCAGTTCTGCTCTCTTATTAATTAGTTCCACCACCTAATAGTTATGATGAGTAAAGACTTGAGGTACATGCTAAAAAGCATCAAAAGGAAACATATAAACCTTAAGCTGTATAAATATATGGGGGGAAATGTTGCATCAGCATCAAACTTCAGCTTCAGAAATGTCCTTTGTCTTCATTTAAACCGGGTAAGAATTAGTGCCTGGTATTATTACCTAGCATTTTAATAAGAGTACTATTTAATTTTAATTTTCTAAGCTGAAAACTATGCAATATACTTCTATTCAGCAGTTTATGAAGAGGAAGCTCCTCTGGCCTTATTGTTAAGGTGAAACACAGATTATCACCTACATTTCTGCATGTTTCAGCATTTGAAACAGTTAATCAGCCCACTGAGGGGCTGAAATCACTGGACAGTGTCTGAAATCACTGAACAGTTGCATGTTTTGTATTGCACTAGGTTTGTTCTTTTTTCTTTAGTTACTACCAGAGCCATCAATCAACAACAAAAAAAATCTGGGTTTGTTTTCATTTTAATGATGAAAGTAGATGCTTCATTTACTGAAAAGGTTCAATTCATATTTACTATCTGTGTTCTCAGTTTTAACCCTGCTGGAGGCTTTTATTTCAACAGCCCAATGCTGACATGCACAACCTACAGAAAAGTGTAACTGCAAACAGAAATGAATGTCTAAAAATGTAATTAAACATTCTAAATTTAAAAGATCAGCAAAAGTGGCTTTCAGTGCTCTTCTTTGCCCTTTTTATCACACTTTAAAGTTGAAAAGTACCTCCAGAAATCATTGAGTCCAACCTGTGACCAACCACCACCTTGTCAACCAGACTGGAGCTCTGAGTGCTGGGTGCAGTTGTTTTGTGCACAGTTCCAGAGATGGTCATTTCACCCTGCTCTGGACAGCCTGTTCCAGTGCTTATCCATCCTTTCCATGAAAAAATTCTTCCTGATGTTCAGCCTGAACCTCCCCTGGTGCAGTTTGAGGCCATTTCCTCTCATCCTGTCCCTTGTTCCCTGGGAGAAGACTCTGATCTCCACCCTCCTCTCAGGGAGCTGAAGACAGCGAGAAGGTCCCCGAGTGTCCTTGTCTCCAACCTGAGCCCCCAGCTCCCTCAGCTGCTCCTCAGAGCACTGACACTGCAGACCCTTCCCCAGTTCCATTCCTTTCTCTGGTCATGAAACAACCCCTCAAAGTCTTTCTTGCCGTGATGGGCTCATCATGGATGAACTGGATGCAGCACTCGGGGTGTGGTCTCACCCAGGACAGAGGGGAAGTCACTGGCCTGGTCCTGCTGGTCACACTACAGAGCTACAGGCCAGATGCCCGTGGCCTCCTGATGCTCTGGGGCACACTCAGCATTCCCAGGGCCTTTTCCATCAGGGCAGCGTTCCAGCCCCTCTGCCCGAGCCTGTGCCGCTCCCGGGCACTGCCTTGCCTCGCCTTTCAGCCGCTCCCCGGCATTGCCTTACGTACCTTGTCCCTCCATTGACTATGGCTCACCGGCCTGCTCCTCCCTACCCCTCCCTTCCTCGCCTTACAAAGCTCGCATTTGCCTCGTCCACCACCCCTTCCCTTCCCTTCCCTTCCCTTCCCTTCCCTTCCCTTCCCTTCCCTTCCCCATCCTTGCCTTCTCCTCCCATGCCTCGATTTCCTTCCCTTGCCTCGCTGTACCAATCCCTCCCTTGCCAGCCTGTTCCGTGCCTTGTTTATCTGACCCTTCTTGGCCTCGCCTGGAGGCACCCGGACCCGCGGGAAGGGCTCCTGCCCTCGCCTGGAGGCACCCGGACCCGCGGGAAGGGCGCCGTCCGGCCCTCGCCGTCCGGCCCTCGTCCCCTCCCGAGCACCCCCGGCTCCCCTCGGCCGCTCCCCACAGACTCCAAGCCCCGCCCACCAGGACAGAAGCAGAGCCCGGCTCCGCCAATCCGAGCCCGCCTTTCTCCGCGTCGTCCAATCACAGCCGCCCTTTCAATCTGGCCGCCGTCCCGCCAAGCTCCGCCCGCTCAGCCACGGCCCCGTCCCTCAGCCTGGCCTCGCCCTCCCTTTCGCCAGAGGCGTCGCTCCGGGAGACGGCGGAGCCGCAGCCTCACTGCGGCAGCCCGCGGCAGGTGCTTCTGGGGCCCGGGAAGGGCCGACGGGGACTCCCCGTTCAGGTCCCGGCTGGGAGTTCTCCCCGGGGAAGGAGGGGACGGCGGGGAGAGGGCGGGGCCGGCTCCCGGGGCGGTGGAGGCAGGGCCTGAGGGGAGAGCGGAGCTCAGGGAAATGAGCGGAGCGGGAACAGGCGGGCCGGGATTGGCTGGGTCGGGCATGCCCTGTGGCTGTGATTGGCTGCGCCGGCATGCCCTGTGGCTGTGATTGGCTGCGCCGGGCCGCGCTGTGCCGGCAGGAGGCTATAAATGCGGTGCACAGGAACGGGCCGCAGCCAGTGCGGCAGAGCAGGCCCGCCTGGAGGCGGGAGCAGCAGCGCCGGCCCAAAAGCGCCCCAAGAACCTTTCACGGGGCTCCCGTCGGCGCACGGGCAAGGGAGGAGCTGGCAAGGTCTGACAAGGGAGGCCTTGCATACCCCTTCCTTGCCTTAATTTTCCTTCCCTTGCCTTGTTCTGCCTCTACCTCCTTGTTCCACCTTTTCCTAGTCTTT